TACTCTTTGTCTGGCGTTCCATTGAAGTATAGCAGTCTAAGAGGAATGAGCTGCAGCAACAATAGCAACAACTTGCACTTATATAGCGCCCTCCACACAGGGTAGCATCTCAGAGCGCTTGACCATTAGCAACCATTCGACAAGCTGAGGCTCTTTAGTCTTGAGAATCAACGTCGCAGAGGGGACCAATAGAGTTGTATAACATTTTAAACAGAATTAAAAAAGTAAACATAAAACAGTCCAATGCTGGGATGGGAACCTGGTGGGATAAGTGTTTTGGAAGAAATACATTTAGATGGACCGAAGAGCCTTCTTCATCTGAACCAATTTTGTGAGATCCAACTGTGTTGGTGTTTCTACCTCACTCTATCCCTGGAAGGATGCAGCCTGCTTACAACAATAACAACAACATGTTACATTCATATAATGCCTTCTACACCTGGAAATACTTCACACAGCTGACTGGGAGCCTAAGCTGTGGGGAGGGAGCTGGAGGCAGGGGGAAAAGCAGTCTAAAGTGTGGTCGATGGGAGATTCTTGAATGGGTTTGGAAGATAGGCAGGGAGGGGGCAAGTTGGAGCAACTCTGGGATGGAGTTCCAGAGAGTGGGGGCGGAGTGTCTGAAGGCCCGGCAAACCAGTGGAGCAGTGAGCACCAGGTGTAGGTCAGTGCATTCAGAACCTGCTTGCCTAATTGTTTAATTATGTATTAGGTGCAGGTTGGTGAGAGCCATGTCTTGGGTACTTGAATGTGTTTGTTAGGCACTGCTGGAGTTTGACCCGCTAAATCCACACAGCATGCCAATGCAAACAAATAATAGTCACTGCCATTCATTATCAGCATTCAGAACAGAATAAAATAAGAATTTGCTTGGCAATAGGTCCTTTTCATTTTCCGGACAGTTTATTTTCTTTCCATTTAAATCGTAGTCCCTTCCTGGATTTTTTGTCCCCTTGTGAAGCACTTTGCATTTCTCTACATTGAATTTAATAAACCTTAATAACTATGTCACTGAATGCTTTGTTTTCACACCATGATATAAACATTATGGAGAGGGACCTTAGCCACTGAACAATTACCATTGAGACATTGATAATTGTGTGAAGCATCATCGTTGGATGTTTTTAATGAAGCTAAATTAAAACAGAGTGGATAGTTGTGTGTAAAATGTAATTGAACATGACAATTGAGATATCTGTAGAAAGGACCAACAAAAACTGTGCATTGTTCTATGGCATTGTAGGGGACCTGCTGCCTCATTTCAGTTATCCAGGGTTATCCAGGTTGTTTATTGGGACTTTGAGCTCATAGTCTAGGCTGACACTCCAGTTCAATACTGGGGGAAGGTTGCATTGTGCCATGTGCTGTTCTTCGGATGAGGCATTAAGCTGTTCAACTACACGCTAAAGATTCCATGGCACTATTTGAAAAGAGAAGGGAGTTTCTCTCGATGTCCTGGCCAATAATCCCCACAGATAAAAACGGTCCTTCACTCAATGGTTCATTGTGGGACATTGCTAAACGCTAAATGCAAATTAGCTGCAAATTCACCTACAAATACACAGCCGTTACACTCTACTATAAAACTTGACGATATCTCAAAGACCAGGCAACAGCAGCAACAAGATCCTGAAGTTGTTATTTATTCCTGATATCAGGTCTGAGGGATTTTGCCTGAGTTGCCGCCTGCTGCATTCAGTTGCAACGAGATAGCGGAAATTGAGATTTGCAGATTTTCCAAGTATTCCCAAAGGAAGAAAGAAAATATGTTTCATTAATCTGAAAGACAGCAGACATGCTCTGAAAAGTAAGAGAGGAGACATTCCCCCATGTACTTTTTGTGGAGCTGTTTATAAACATACAAACAAATGGAGGATACAAAATACATTTCACTCACAGTCAATTCACTTTACAGTATATACTGTGAAGCACTTTGAGACGTCTTGTAGAAGTGATAAGCAGCTATATCAAATGCATAGTTTATTATTATACTGAGCCCAGCAAGCCTGCTCCACCAGTATATTACATCATGACAGATTTTTCAATCCCATTTCTCTGTCGTTTCACCAAACCCATTAAGAAATGGGAGTTACAATAAACTCCTGATAACAAGACCCTGGCTTAACTTATCACTACCATGTAATATCCACACTGTCAATATCCCGTCTGCTTCCCATGCAAATTGTTAATAAAGGACTCCGTTTTACTTGTCACTCCAATTATTACCACTTTAACTAGTCACATTCCTCGTCTCAAAGTGACTAAGTGACTAGTCTCAAAGTGCTTCACAGGGTATACTGTAAAGTGGATTGACTGTGTATTTTGTGGGCGAAACTTAGTCATAAAAGTAGGATGGCTGCGTGACAAGTAGAATGACTTGATGGCTGCTTGTAGGACTTTGCTCTGTGCAAATTGGCTCCCCTCTCCCCAGAGGTGAAAGGAGTTGTATCAAAGATTTAATATCTAAACCTAATTTATTAAAAGCCTCTTGTTGTCTAAAGCCTCTTGTCATCTAATAAGCAGCTCACCTCAGCTATGCATTAGTATCAGCCCTGGAATTTGATCCTGTGCTTTTTCAACCCTCCAGAACCAACACAAAGGATTACAAGCAGGTACTTATCTCCTTCCATATTTATTTAGTCCTGATGATACATTATTCAGCCAGTTAGATTTAGTGACATTTGCATTGTTTTTGTTTGACCACCAGCCAAAGACAAAATGTCAAAATGTGATCATAAAAAAGGATTTAGGAAGAATATTAAAACAACCAGCTGTGAGATAACACAGAATAAAATAATAGCATATTAGCATATCTGTAGCATATCTGACTAGACAATAATCAGAAATGCTCTGTCTCAGAATAATGCTTTTCGTAGTAATATAAATTTGAACAGAACTTTTGGTTTTATGGTTTTTATGGCTTTTTTGTACAGAATGATATGAAATTAATGAGCAAATTTGTACTAAAGCATTAAAATGATTGGCCACACATTCTTATAACCCTTTTAACCCTTTCAAAAAGTGCCTTATCACTTCATTGAGTTGTCTTAAAGTGCTTCACAGAATTTTACTGTGAAGTGTAATGACTTATATTTTGTAGACGAACACAGCAATCATTTTTGCACACAGCAATGTCTCACAAACAGCCTCAAAGTGAATGGCGAACTTATATGGGGGATTCTTTGCTTGGACTCCAAGAGAAACTCTACTCTCTGCCTCTCCAATCAAAACAAGGATCAAATACTAAAACATGAGAAATCAGCAATTATTGCTACAGAATAGTTGATGACTTTGAACAAAGTGAACTGTTAATGGCCTTTGCAATGAACATATATGGGGATAAATGTGTGATATACCATCACATTGTCCTAAACTGTGGTCCTATTGCGAATTGATTTCAGTCCGCAATAGACCACAAGCAAAGTGGTTTGGCCCAATGTCTCCAGCCTCTATTGTAGTTGTCACCAGTGGAGCCTAAGAGTTATAATAATAATAATCCTTGCATTTGTTATAGTGCACTGCAGAAGATCGTCTCAAAGTGCTTCACAGGATTTACTGTAAAGTGTAGTAACTTAAGGTATTTTTGTAGGCAAATGCAGTAGCCAAATGCACACAAGAATGTCCCACAAATGACCAATTTTATCTGGGGGTATTGTTGACCAGTCACCTGGAGAAGCTCCCTTCTCTTTTCGAATAGTGCCAGCAATCAAAGATAAAAACTAAGGCACACAATTTATATTTGTGTGTATCTTTGCATATGTAGCATACACTGGTAAAGCATGATAATGTGATAATGTTAATAATGAAGCCCATTTCTTCGACCGTGGCTTCGGCCACCCTTCTATCCCAACTCTATCTGCCCTCTACCCTCCTGAAACCAGCCCCCATCTCAGGTCCAAATCCTTGACTGTTCAGTGCCTTGGGACGTCCTCCTGATGTGAAACACACTATACAAATGTAATTTGTTGTTGTTGCTATTGTCTGTACAGCGCATTCTCAATGAAAACATGCTGCTTGTGAATTAGCTAAGCAGCCTCCAAGAAATGTTTTGCAGTGAAGTGCACAGATCAGCAAAATCATGTAAATTACGTATTGCCAGTGTATTGGTGCAGAAAGTACAGTACTGCTGGAGTAATCACTGTGTTATGGAGCTAATGCCAAAATCAATGCTCTTGCTTTTTTGCTAATGCATTATATAATGAAAAACAAACAAGAACATGGACTTAAAGCAGTGATGGACAACCTTTTTGGTCAGCAAACAAAATAAATTTTCTTAATCGCATATTTCTTGATTTATGCCATAAGCTTTTAGAGAGGCAGCACAGGCACTGATTCTTTGCTGTTAAAATATTCTATAGTTTCTATGCCTTGAACTTTGCCCTGTTCTGAATTACTTGGTCCCAAATTTGGCTACAATTTCCTGAAACAATTGAAATGTAGTCCTGACACTCACAAGATCATGAGATTGGTTTGGATGAAGAAAGTGCATCTGATCTGTTTACTCCAGAATACCCACCCTATCACCCTTCACAGGATCAACAACAACAACTTGCATTTATACAGCCCCCCCCCACTCACACAGGGGAGGGTCCCAGAGCACTTGAAAGTGGCGGAGCATGATGCATCAAACTGTTTATTAAACAGGTTCAGTGTCCTGGATTCAACCACCCATCCTGGCAACCTGTTCCAGTTGTTAATTACCCTTTGAGTAAAGAACCTCTCTGATACATGGAACCGAACACTAGCCAGAGTCAAAGGCTGCAGGCGTAATTTTCTTTTAAAAAAAGGCTATTAAATATAAACGATATAAAATGTTGCCAACTGAATGGCACAACCTTAACAGTACTACATGTTGTTTTACACTTTGATTAAGGTGTGATGCTGTTTTGCTTTCATGAATTTTCTTTGCGTTTACGCTGTGATTCTCAGTTGATTCTCTTGCATTCTCACCTTTTTTTCCGACATTTTATTGAAGTCATAATTCTTGTCTTGTCTTCTAGTTTGTTGCCCAGCCAAACTGTCAACAGCTCCTTGCTTCCCGTTGGTACGATGAATTTCCTGGCTGGAGGCGGCGACACTGGATAGTTAAATTCCTGACATGCATCGTCATCGGACTGCTATTCCCTGGCTTCTCTGTGTGCTACCTGATAGCTCCAAAAAGCACATTAGGCCTTTTTATTAGAAAGCCATTTATCAAGTTTATCTGCCACACTGCATCATACTTGACCTTTCTTTTCCTGCTGTTGCTGGCATCTCAACATATTGATCGAACAGATTTAAACATGCAAGGTCCCTCACCAACTCTTGTTGAATGGATGTTACTGCCTTGGGTGCTAGGTAAAGTCCTTGTATATGAAAATAAATGTGTGAATGTACGGCATTACTGGGAGCCCAGTGCAGTAATCGTCAACGTATGTTTAACTGTTGTACACAGAGTTACCCGAGGCAAGAAATTCCACCGGGTTTGTTATCCGTAAGACCATTTTGTATTAAAATTGTGCAAGAATTGTGCAACAGCAAATTCTGCAAATCATTCTCAATTTGGAAACCAGTCTCCAGGTCAGCTAGGATAGGCAAATCACCTTTCAGTACAACAGGAATAACATATTTATATATAGTGCTCCTCACATCAAGTAACATATTGGGGTATTTAAAAAGAAGGTACTGGACACTGAGCAGGGGGCAGGAGGGAGATGACTGTAGGCATGGCCAATAAGGTAGGTTTTTAGATGGCATAGACAGGGAGCAAGAACGAGGGATTGAGGGAGGAAGTTTGAGAAGGAGGGGGCAAAATGGCTGAAGACATGGGCCCCAATGGTAAGTTGAAAAGGGACGTGAAACACTAGCAGCACAGTACAAAGTGGGAATAGATTTTTGGTTAAAGGATTTTTTTTATTATCCAGTTTCAACAATGCATTAACTTCTGAAGTCTTATGATTCAAGTTGAAAAGTCTTTAGAGATTTGAAAATAATTTATTAATTCAGTTGTAAGCATTTCAAACATCATTTTTATAACAATAAGCATTTCAAATATAATTTTCATAACAATAACTTATCAACAATGACTTGCTGTTTATCCATAATATGAACATTGCATGTTCTAATGCAAATGTTCTGTGCTAATGCAAATTTGAGAAGGGTTTCTAGCAATGCATTCAAATCTATATACTGTACCTGTAATAGCTTTTGTCTCAAGAAGCAAAAATCTGATCTTGTGCACGCTCTTATAGGTTTGTCAACGATTTGGTCTGTGGATCAGGTAAAGTACTAACCACCCCATTAGAGTTAGGAGCGCCTCAATAAGTGATTGTGCTTTTCATAATGGATATGATGCTGATATTCTGGAGTTTTGGTGGTTACATAGAGTGATATGGCATGGAAATGGATCATTAGACCCAATTAGTCTCTGCCTGTGTCTGTGGGATGGAGTTCCAGAAGATGGGGGCAGAGTGGCAGAAGGCCCAACTGCCAATGGTGGATGGGCAAGCCGGGGTCGTGAAGCAGGCTGGAGCCCACTGGGCGGAGGGAGCGAGCAGGTGGTAGGGGGTTAAGAGATCGCAGAGGTAGGGGAGAGCAAGACCATGGATGGCTTTGAAGGTGAGGACCAGAATCTTGAACTGTATCCTCTATGTGATGGGAAGCCAGTGGAGTCAAGCGAGGATGGGGATGATAGAGCCCTGGTGTGGGAGAGGACATGGGCTGCAGAGGTCTGGATGATCTGCAGCCTATGGAGGGAGGAGTTGGGGAGGCCGACAAGCAGGGAGTTTGCATAGTCAAGCCTTGATGTAATGAAAGCGTGTATGAGGGTTTCGGCGGCCTGTGGCGTGAGACAGTGCAGAGCTGGGTGATGTTGTGGAGATGGGGGAAGGCAGAACGGGTCATGGTACAGATGTGGGATAGAAAGCCTAGTTGAAGGTCAAACAATCCGCCAAGGTTCCGGACTGATTTAGTAAGGTGGAGTGTGCATCCATGGATGGTGATGCTGTCAACGCCTGAGCTGTGGAGGCGCTGATGGGAGCCAATCAGGAAAGTCTCGGTCTTGATGACGTTCAACTGAAGAAAATTAGCTCTCATCCAGGACGATGTCTGACAGACATACTGGTCCTGCAGTCAAGGATGGAGGCAGAGAGGTACAGTTGGGTGTCATCCACATACATGTGGAAGTTGACCTCACGTTTGCAGATGATGTCACCAAGAGGGAGCACATAGATATTGAAGAGGCGGGCACCAAGGACAGAGCCTTGAGGAATGTACACGAGACGGTGTGGGGGCTAGAGGAGAAACCTATTATGGAGATGAAGTGGAAGCGGCATGTGAGGTACGATCTGAACCAGTCAAGGACAGAGCTGTGGAGGTGAGAGGAGAGGTGGTGGATGAGGATAGAGTGGTCGACGGTGTCGAAAGCAGCAGAGAGGTCAAGCAGGATGAGGAGGCAGAGGGAGCCCTGGTCGCAGATGGACAGAATATCATTTGTCACTTTGACCAGGGTTGTTTCTGTGCTGTGGGTGGCACGGAAACCCGATTGGAGGGGTTCATGGAGGGAGTGGAGGGAGAGGAAGGAGCAAAACTGAAAAGCAACAACTCGTTCCAGGACCTTGGAGAAGAAAGGAAGATTGGAGATGGGGCAGTAGTTTGAGAGTAGAGCTGGTTTCAGGGAGGGTTTTTTTAAGGATAGGCCTTAATGGGGTGGGAACAGTACCAGAGGAGAGGGAGAGGTGTATGATGTCTGTGAGTAGAGGGGCAAGGAGGTGGAGCTGGGAGGTAAGGAGAGGGCTAGGGATGGGGTCGAGGGAACAGATGATCGGTTTCATGCGGGTTATAGTGGTAGTGAAAGAGGAATGGGAGACAGATTCGAAGGTGTAGAAGGAGGGATGGGTAGGGGCCGGGGTGGGAGGGGGAGATGGAGAGAGGGAGGTAGTTGCAGTGGCAGAGGCAGCTGAGCGGATCCCCTCGACTTTGGATTTGAGGAAGTCCAACATCGTCTCGCAGTTGGTATTGGAGGTGAAGATGGGCGAGGTGTGAGAGGGTGGGTGGAGGAGCCAGTTGGTGATGGAAAAGAGGAGCCTGGGGTTGTCCTTGGCCTCCAAGATTGTCTTGGAGTAGAACGACGATTTAGCGGAGGCGAGGGCGGAGCGGTAGGATTTGATAAGGTCCAGCCAGATCTGCCGTTGGACAGTTAAGCTCGATTTAAGCCAGTTGCACTCAGCAGCATTCAACTGTGCTTTAAGGGCACGTAGGTGGCTGGTGTACCATGGTGACGTACTGGAGACATTCAAGTTCAAATGAGAGAGGGGAGCAAGGGAATCGAGAGTGAAGGAGAGGGAGCTGCGGAGAAGAGTGACCAAGGAGGATAGGTTTTTGTGGGAGGAAGCCCAGAGGAGAAGAAGTTCAGATGACTCCAAGGCAACCGAGGTGGGGGGGGTGTGGGTGGGGGGGAGATTATTTTTCAGGGGCGGTAGGAGATTGAGGTGGATTTGGTGACGGTGGGGAGAGGGATTGAGTAGTTAAGGGAGATGAAGTGATGATCCCAGATCACTTTGTCGATGATAGTAAGGTCTGAGAAGGTGAGGCCTCGAGTGATCACCAGGTCGAGGGGATGGAGTGGATGTAAAGGGAGAGCTTGAGAGAGGAGAAAAGGGAGGAGAAGTCAGCAGAGGTAGAGCAGGAGGGGGTGAAGTGAAGGTTGAAGTCGCCTAGGATGAGGCGGCGTTCGGAGCAGAGGGAGAGGGAAGATAGGAGGGTGGAGATGTCGGGGATGAAAGTGGGGTAGGGTTTGGGGGGGGCCATAGATAAAAAGAATTTTGACGTGTCTACATGTCTTACCTAAACCTTAAATGTCTCAACTACATCTGCCTGCACAAGAGCTAATCTGAACTAAATGAAAAAAATATATGAAGCAGATCCCTGAACAGAGGACGTTTGATCAGTTATAACTCTGACTGCAGTATATTAATAATAATAATATTAATCCTTGCATTTGATGTAGCGCCTTATCACGTCTTTGAGACGTCTCAAAGCGCTTCACAGAATATACTGCAAAGTGAAATGACTGTATAACTTGTGGGTGAAATGCGGCAGCCAATTGCACACAGTTAATATAATAGGACTGAAAAAGTAATAATTCCGGCATGTACGAGGAATCCTTTCGATAATCAGCAACATTTCATGACTGATTTGTGGGATAGCCACTTTGTAGCATGTAGAGTTACGATATACAATACAATTTACATTCATGAAGCGCCTTTCACATCAGGAGGGCTTCTTAAGGCACTTGACACTGCCTGGATGGTCACCTGAGCTGTGGTGGGAGCCAAGTGGGAAGGTGGCGAGGGGAAAGATGACCAAAGGCACAATCAAAGAGGTGCGTTTTGAGACTTGAGCAAGGGGAGGGAGGAAGACAGTAGGAGGGACTCTGGGATGGAGTTCCAGAGAGCGGGAAAAGAGATCGCAAGGGACATGAAGCAGGCGAGGGCAGGGGCCTAGTGTATTGATAGTTACTGTCCATTGTTTGACCACTGCCCAAATCTTTCAGGGTTGCCCATTGACAACCACTGCTTTTTCAACTCCAATGGATCTAATTGTACAAACATCTATGGAATTCTCCCATTCAAGCATTTTAAGGAGTTACCGTGTTATAGGCACTGTATAAAATGCCAGGATTATTATAAAATTTTGGGTTAAAACATAAATTTATGGCTCCTGTGGAGTCCTGTGGCTCAGTGGTTAGAGCACTCGCTTTGCAAGTGAGAGACCTGAGTTCAATTCCAGGCAGAGGGCGAAACCTTGGGCAAGTTTCCTTACTCCACACAGAGCCTAATAATAATCCCTCCAAAACAAAACAATAATAAATTGGTCATTTTCAATCCATATGACTGTTTGTGGGACATTGCTGTGCGCAATTGGCTGCCGTGTTCGCCCACAAATATACAGTCAATTCACTTTACAGTATGTTCTGTGAAGCACTTTGGGACGTCCTCCCGACGTGAAAAGCGCTATATCAAATGCAAGGATTATTATTATTATTATTAAAATGCAAGGTCTTCTAAAGATAACCTGTTTCTAGGAGCCATAAATTTATGTTTTAAACCAAAATATATAATCTTTCACTGTGGTTGTGAAAGTTGCAATGAGAATCGACTTCTGGTAAATAAATAGCAACCACAGTAAATGCCATTTCCCTTCTACGTAACAAGCATTCAATCAAATACCGCTAAGAAGCTGGATTGTGTAACCAAAGTGTCTTTGGGACTCTAACAATCTCGGATTTGTACCAGACCTTAAAGCAATTCAAATCCATTAACTCCCTGGCACTTCCCTACATCTCCGACGTCCTCACTGCCCACTCCACCATCTGGCGCCTGCACTCTACTGGCACCGGCCTCCTGCTCATTCCTCAGACCCTCCGCCCCACTATCGGAGGTTGTGCTTTCAGCCACTGTGCCCCAAAACTCTGGAACACTCTCCCTCAATCCTTCCGCCTTGTCCCCTCTCTCCCCTCTTTCAAGTCCCGCCTGAAAACTGCGCTTACGGGCACCTCGCCCCTCCTCCCAGCTCGGAGTCAGGCTCCGCCACTGTTAAGCGCTCTGAGACGCTACCCTGCGTGGAGGGCACTGCATAAGTGTAAGTTGTTGTTGTTGCAGTTCCTAATTCAAGTCTGAGGAGACTGCCTACCTGCTGATATTGTCACCATTAAAGTTGTCAATAAGGTAATGGTTCTTTGGAGCTCAGTCAATACCCAATCAGTTTCTGGCACAATGTGATGTTTCCCTCATTCAAATTGACAGCAAAATAATAATCTTGTACAATGGTTTGTAGGTGGTCTGTCCTTTATGGTTATTACTTCAACATTCACTGAAAGGTTCCTGGCCAATTCTGCACCTGAAATTCACATCAGTGTTGTCATTTTGCTTAGCTCAGGGGGAATATAAGTCCACTGTTATTGGATCCTGCATGGGTTTAGTCAATTTACTGGACAGCAGAGAATCAGATTCCGCCTCCTGCAGAGAATCACCTCCTCAGGTTAGAGGGAGGCACTTGCAAAACTACAACAACAACTTGATTTATATAGCATTGAAACATCTCAAAGTTCTTCACAGTATTTGATTGTAAAGTGTAGTGACTGTGTAGTTGTAGGTGAAGAGGGGATAGGCCACATACTGTATTCATCATCCTTGCATTTTGATATAGCGCCTGATCACATCTTCGAGACGTCTCAAAGCACATCACAGAATATACTGTAAAGTATGTTTTGGGGCGAAATACAGCAGCCAATTGCACACAACAGTGTCCCCCAGAAAAATGATCCGCTAATCGACTAACAACCAGGTTATGTGGAGTAAGGAAACTAAGGTTTCGCCCTGCCCGGGAATCAAACCCAGGTCCTCTCACTTGCGGGGCAAATACTCAAACCACTGAGCTACAGGACTCAGTTTGTGCATCTGCTGTCTGTCCCACAGAATACAAAGTTACATATCAGTGATTAAGTAAAGAGGATGCTGCACAGTGCAGTGTTTAAAATCAACAGAGACCATTCAGCCAAACTAGTCCGTGTTGGTGCTTACGCTCCAAATCAGCCTCCACCGCTCTCTTTCTCAAGTGTGCATCACGTTTCCTATTAAATACATTCTGAACTGGGATTTGAACCAGTGCACCCATGGCATATAAGCTTCAATTTGCTCCATTACACCATCAGGGCTCTTGGAAGTTTGAAGAGGTTTGAACTCTGAGTTGATGTCTGAACATCTGTAATTGAGGTTTAAATTACAACTTTTGTAAAGGTCATTGCACCCGTTACAGTGTCTCTTCCTAACTTCCTAACTTCCTTCCAAAATGCTTCAAATTCCAGAAATGTCACAATTGAAGGCACGTTTACCAATCTTCAGATCTAATGGCTGACAACCGGTATATGGGAGAAGTTCACTCTAATATGAAGATAATAATAAGAATAAGAATATCACCATCATCAGAAAATGATTTTGAAAAAACTTAAATAATCCTGACTGAGACTACAGTATTGTAATAAGACAGGTCAATAATACAGTAATTCGACTCGTGCAAATAAAATATTTTTAAACAAATATTTCCTACATAATTGAGCTCAGAAACATAGCCTGTTATGTTGAAAGATACGCTGTAAGATATTATTGATGTTTGTACTTTTCTCTTGAGAAGAGATTTTAAGTTTTTTTAAAATCAATGACGAAACACAAAAGACACAAAATTTCACTGAGTCTCAACTTGAATGACTTATATTTTGTCTTGAAGTTGATATCAAATTGTGGAAAATTCTTCCATTTAGTCGTAATTTGGACGACAGTTTTCCGCAGTTCTTAAAAAAGAACCACCTTCTAAATTATTTAAGGTAAATTGGTCTTACAGACTAAGACTAGTTGAAGTTTCAAACCTAGAGTACTATAACTTCTTACAATATTGCATCCCACCAAAATGGGTTAATAACAATTTTGGCTCAAATTTAACACAATTAATCGAGTGTCTGACACATGCAGACACTTATCATCACGCTTCAGAGTATCCAAACCAAACCGGGGGTTCCGTGCATTCCACCTACACGTGGAAGTTTTCATATATTAGAATGCAATGCACACTCGCTTTTCCTGGAGGAACACTTCCTATTTAACCTAATTTCGCAGAGTGAACAAGAGATCTGTTCATAATATTGCATTGGTAGCAAACCCAGCTCAAAGAGATAGATAAATTACTATGTAACTTTTCACTGTTTCTTATCTTTTTAAATGCATGTGCATCAATACGTTGTTATGAATATTTAAGAATACAAATTCTGAGATGTCTTTCTTTTCTTTGGCTACAGGTTTTATTTGGGGTGAAATAAAGCAAATGTGGGATGGTGGACTTCAGGATTATATACATGACTGGTGGAACCTCATGGACTTTGTAATGAATTCTTTGTACCTCGCAACAATATCCCTTAAAATTGTCGCTTTTATCAAGGTAATTATAATTCCTCTTCTAACCCTCCTCACACCTGTCAAAGTTTAGCTATGATCTGAACACCTCAACAGATAAACAAATTCACACCCTTCCAATACGTCGAAATACAACAACACCAAAATGAACATAATAATAATAATCCTTGCATTTGATATAGCGCCTTATCACGTCTTCGAGACATCTCAAAGTACTTCACAGAATATACTGTAAAGTGAATTGACTGTATATTTTGTGGGCGAAATGCGGCAGCCAATTGCGCACAGCAGTGTCTCACAAACAGTCATGGATTGAAGTGACCAATTTATTATTTTTTTTAAGGAATTATTACTCCCAGGAAAGCGATCCGCCAATCGATTAACTACTGGGTTCCTACTTACTGCTAGGTAAATAGAGGCATGTGGAGTAAGGAAACTTGCCCAACATTTTGCCCTGCCAGGAATCAAACCAAGGTCTCTCATTTGCGAGGCGAGTGCTCTAACCACTGACCTATAGGATTCCACAAGATATTAATCTCTGAGAGGTTTATAATAATAATACTCATTATTAATAATATTCATTGCATTTGATAAAGCACCCTTCACGTCAGGGGACATCTCAATGCGCTTCACGGGATATATTGTAAAATGGAATAACTGCAAGTTTTGTGGGCAAACATGGCAGCTAATTTGTGTACAGCAATGTCCCACAAGCAGCCATGAAGCTTTACTATTCTAACAAAATTGCTTTAAAAGAATGCAAAGCTTCGTTGATGCCCCATGCTAATTTCTATACAGCAAATCGTTCCGTGCAAAAAGGTTTGAAGAAACTAACTATTTGAAATGCTGCTGGAGAATAGGTATTAAGAATACAGAGCATTGCTGGGGACAAATATCACCCGGGTCTGTTTTTAATCTGTTCAGTTTTAGAGCGTTCTAAATTTGTCAAATTCTTAAGTGCAGCCTTAATTTTCTGTAATCTTTTAAGAACTATAGAAAAAAACAATTTCAACGTTAAGACTGAATTAAACAATTTGCCAAATTCTGGGCACTCTGAAATGCTACGTAAATCTACACCCTGGTGGAATTTGTTACCCATGTCAATTATTTTTAAATCAGGTGTTGTTCATCTGATTATATTCATAATCAATGGATTTAACCAGTTTTCAAGGTTAAAGAAATCTCGACACAAATTTGATTGGCCAACACATGATAAATCGACACCTTGCACTGAATTTTTGCCTGTGATAAAGCATCTTGTTCACAAACAGGGAGCTGCAAAATTAAGTGTGTTATGTATTTGGGAGTGACCGTTGCCTTAGCACAAATCTGGAAAAATAACAGTGGGGTGAATGTTGTAATGTGATAATTATCACTGGTGATAATTACACCGTGCCTTGTAATCTTTGTCCTAAAGAATATTTGTACATTCTTGACCGAATATTTTGCTTCATTTGGCAAATAATCTTCTGTGAAGGAACATAACTGTGCGCAAGTTGTGAAGGGCTACAGACTGTACATCAAACTCTAGTATTATTGTTAACATTAGTAACATTAGTGCTGCTGTTAGTGTAAATCTGAAGTTACAGCTGTAGAAAGCTGTAATTAATAAGGAGTTTGACTTAATGATTGCCTTCCACATCTCTTCCGCACCATCAGCTGAAAACAAAATAATCTTCATGGTACTTGTAATTATGCCTCCAAAGAGAAAAGATATATTTTTTTCATTTTAATATTGCTAATAATAATAATAATAATATTGCTAAGAATAGTATCTACAATATATGCAGGACCCAACAACACACCAGCATGATATTTCTGACGGTACAGAGCAGCTGCTCAGAAAGTAACATTAAAATCACAATGGAAGCCAGTAATTGGATCTGTCTTTATCAGCTTGATAAATAATAATAATAATAAAAATCATCGCATTTCATATTGCACCTTAACACATCGTCGAGATGTCTCAAAGCACTTAATAGGATTTCACTGTGTAGTGACTGTGTATTTGCATTCAATATGCAAGATTGATAACCTTATTAAGGACAATAATTGAATTGGACTCATTGAATAACCTAAATAATTGTTTCTGTATTTTAAAATTAATGTCTTGGTAACGCTGACGCTTTTATGTTCTAAATTAAGATTACATCCACAAGGGAAATAATGTTGCTTTTAAAAATGGATTTTAAAATTTTATGATGCATAAAGCAACATGGTGGTTTCATTGTCTGTGCAAATAATAATGGAATTTATCCTTGCCAAGGGGAAAGCTGAAAGAGATGTAGGGGTGTTAGTTGATTCATCGCTCACTATGTCAAAACAGTGTGAGGCAGCAATAAATAAGGCAAACAGGACACTGGTCTATGTTGCTAAATCCATTAAGTTCAGATTCAAAGGTGTAATGCTCAAGTTGTACTCTGATCAGGCCGGACCTAGAATACTGTGTACAATTCTGGTTACCCTGACATAACCAGGTCAAGAGACGGTGCAGAGGAGAGCAACAAAGATGATCCCCAATGTTAGAGGAATGAGCAGTGATTAGACAAGCTGCATCTTTTTAGCCTTGAAGAGAGATGTCTTTATAGAGATGATCTTATAGAGGTAGATAAATTGGATTTAATGGAATTGAGAAAATAAAACCAGAACCATACATATCATATATTCTGTGAAGCACTTTGTCAAAAAGTTTTTTTTGAGATGTCTCAAAGACGTGATAAGGCACTATATCAAATGCAAGGATTATCATTGTTATTATTCAAGTATGATAGGGTTGCAGAACAAGGGAGCCGAGATTCAGTAGAGACGAGGAACACCATAATTTCCTTCTTTAGCCAGAGGGGAATTAATGACTGAAAGGTTGCCAGGAAGGGGTTTTTGAGGCCAGGATACCGGAATCATTTTAAGAAATAACTTGATGTTATGATAGCAGGACACTGAGGTGGATATTCTGGAAGGATGAGATCAAATTGGGCAAACAGGTTTCTTTGTGTGATCTTGTAATCACCAGCACAGATTTGTTCAGTTTAAGAACATAAGAACATAAGAAATTGGAGCTGGAGTAGCCATTCGGCCCCTCATGGCTGATCTACTAACCTAATTCCCCATATTCCTTAATCTCTTTAATTTTTAAAAATGTCAGGTGTCCAGTCGTCTTTGTTAGTGGTATTCGCACCTTTGAGTCAGAAGGTTGTGGGTTCACATCTTGTGTCAGAATTAGATTTGATTAATACTCCTAAGTAGCACTTGGGAAGTGCATCCATTGAGGGAGATGTTGTCCTTTGAATCAATTATTAGTCTAAGGGCACACCTGTCTGATCTTTATCTGAACATTAAAGATCTACAAGACTATTTGAAAAGAGACATAAATTTATCCCGGTGACCTGGCTAACAATTCTCCTTATAAATGATTCTCCACCTCAGGACTCTCCATGAGACTTGCTTTGTGCAAAATGGCTGACTTGTTTACCCACAAAATACAGGCACTACATTTGATAATAATTACTGTAAACCATTTGAGAGGTTTTGACGTGTGGATAAGGCACGATTTAAAATACAATCCCTTTTTCTTTCTTTAGCTCATTCAAGAGGAAAAAATATATAAAATCAGTAAATTAATGACAGGAACAGGTTGCCAGAAAGGATGGGTTGAGTCCGGGACACTTGATGGGCCAAAGGACTTTCATCATCCAAACCTATGGCTTGTGGTCTTGTGAGTGTGCTTTGTATTGATATTGTTATTTTGTTTAAAGTACAGTGGATCTCGGAAACGTGAAGAATGGGAAATGTGGCATCCCACCTTGGTCGCTGAGGCATTGTTTGCCTTTGCAAACATCTTCAGCTCCCTTCGCCTGATCTCACTGTTCACCGCCAACTCTCACCTGGGACCACTGCAGATATCTCTCGGACGGATGCTCCTGGACATTCTGAAGTTCTTATTCATTTACTGCCTGGTGCTGCTGGCTTTTGCAAATGGCCTCAACCAGTTGTACTTCTACTATGAGACAAACGCATCAGAGGAACCGAATAACTGCAAGGGGATCAGGTGTGAGAAACAGAATAATGCCTTTTCAACGTAAGTACTTTGTTTTATTTTAAATTACAATGTGGATTTTGAAGTATAAGATAAACTCAGTTCTAGCAAGATTTATTCGGGGGCAAGAACAGTCTACTGAAATGCCCCATGATCCAACACTGATAAAGCAGTGCATCAATTTAGTTCCAAAATGAAATGGAGAGATTAATATAAAGGAAAAAATCTATCCTTGTTGGGGGAGGGGGAGGGGTGGATGGAGGTAAGTGTTGTCTTCTTGGAGATGAGTCGGCACTAAGGTAATGATCTTGAGTATGGAATATCAAGTCAATCCTTTGTGCCGGTCTCGGTAGTCCAGTTCCTGAGACAGGCAGGTCCACGGTAATTCAAGACACTGCTGAAAATAGACCAGCCAGCTTGACATATTGCAGGACTTGGAAGAACAGACTGCGGGCAGGGATTTTTCCCACTCGACTCTTGTTAACTAAGCCATTCAAAGTCCTGATGGGTAGGGTGGTTCTAGCTGGACAAGCAGTGTCAGACATTCAATGCAAGCTATGTGGTTTTAGCTGGTAAACTCCAGCAGAAATGTTTTCACACAGCAAGTTGTCAGATCTGGAATGCACTGCCTGAAAGGGTGGTAGAAGCAGATTCCATAACAGTTTTCAAGAGAGAAGCAGATAGATGTTTGGGGAGGACAAATTTGCAGAGCTGTGGGCAAAGAATGGGGGAGTGGGATTAATTCGGACAGCTCTTTCAAAGAGCCAGCACAGACATGATGGACCGAATGGCCTCCATCTGTGCTGTATAATTCTCTGATTCTATGAGTACCCCAATGTACAATCTGGAGTCCCCAAGCCTTGGCCTTCACCAATCCTCAATTTGGCCTTCCAAATCCTGATGGTGTGTCATCAGTGGTGTCTTGAATTACTGTGAAACCACCTGGCTCAGGAACTACACTACTGAATCTACTGAATCTGCCACTGAGGACTGACTAGGTTCGAATTCCTTACTCAAGCACATAATCAACTCTCCAGAATAAACAGTGTATATCACTCCGAGGAGAGAGAGTTCCATTCCAGAGACAGAGAAATTTCCATGTGTAGATATGGAATGTCAAACGTTCAGTCTGGTTTGGATACTCTTATGTATGGTGATGGGTTTGCACGCATGTGAATCACCTGGCTGACAAAAAAAAATGTAATGATTATTTAACTAAATTATGCATATTAAGTATTCGATTAACTTAATTTTACAGGTTATTTGAAACACTTCAATCACTTTTCTGGTCAATCTTTGGTCTGATTAACCTGTATGTGACTAATGTGAAGGCACGGCATGAATTCACGGAGTTTGTAGGTACCACTATGTTTGGAACGTATAACGTGATATCTCTCGTGGTTTTACTCAACATGCTGATAGCTATGATGAACAATTCTTATCAACTCATTGCGGTGAGTTCTTCTTCATTATTATTTTATTAAGCTGTAGATGACACAGCCCCAGTAGTGTAATGGATTGGGCTGCAAATTATGGAACAAAAATCACTGGTTTGAATCCCGGTTGCTGCTGATTTTTCTGGTCTAATTTAGCCTCCCTGAATGGGGAGGATAAATTAGCCCCGATCTTCCCAGGGTTAGGGAAGGGAAAACCAGCCAGGCTTCCTGCGCCTAGTCCACCCACACCACAGCCTTGTGTGAGTGGGTGGCAGCGGGTGGGGAGAGGTTAGGTGTAGCTGACAATCGAGTGACCTGCCAACACTCAGTGCTGACAGTCATACATGAACAATGACACTTGGGTAGAGTAGCAGAGGGCAACCAGTGGCCGAGGAACCGCACCACAGCAAGAGGAGGCCAGACCTGAAGACAGAGAGCACAAGACAGACTGTCCAGTGCCTTGGGACGTCCTCCAGAGGAGCTGTACAAATGTGATTTTGTATTTCTACTGGGTTGAAAGTTAGATAACTAACTAATTACACAAAGTATTTTGGTGGGGAAAGCTCCGAATATTGTTTCATATCTAAAGTAAAACGACCTAATCAGACACAGGATTCTGCTTGAACAGAGGCCTAAATCAAGCTCTTTTGATATTTATTGCTTTTTGAAGATGTGAGAGCAGAATTCACTCATAGTCTTCAAAATATGACTGTGAAGTAAAAGCCATGGAAAAAGATTAGTGTGGTGTGCTTTCAGTCTTGACAATTGCTTTGTGGCACAGTTTCGACACATATTTTCAGAAAGCTCACTGCCTCACCCTGCAAAGCTCCCTTTAAAGTTGCAGTGAAAAAAAGGATGCAAGATTCACTAACGTAAAGCAGGTTGGGGAAGAGGGAGAATATGTTGTGCAGTGCATGTGTTGCCATTACTGGTTGGCATTGCCGAGCTCTCATTATTTCAGGTAGGAATGTATCAAGGTTAAATAAGCCGCTGTATGTTCACTTTTCATACAAATTTCTATTGAAGATTACAATTCACATGTGGTGATGTAGATAGATAGCTGGTAAGCATCGCCATTACCAACATGATTCATTTCTACAGGACCATGCAGATATTGAGTGGAAATTTGCGAGAACCAAGCTTTGGATGAGTTATTTCGAAGAGGGTGGCACTCTTCCAACCCCCTTCAACATCATTGCGAGCCCAAAGTCGGCCTGGTATTTATTGAAATGGCTACAGAGACATCTCTGCCCCAAAAAGTTCTGCAAGCAAGAACGGAAAAAACCTGAAAGTCTTGGGTGCCTCGGGGTAGGAAGTTCATTTATGTGATCAATACGGTTTCATGTGCTTCCATAGATTGTGATATCGTTTGCTTTAATGCAGATGATCTACGGGAAGTTTCTCCAGATCTTAATATTGTAAGCGCTCTCAAATTATTTGCTGTTCCAAAGCACTTTCCTTTACTGATTTTACTCATTTTTGACTTTTCTTTAAAGAGACGTGCAGCTAACAATCTGAAGCGTAATCATCAATATCAGGTAAGAAGAACCTTTCAACTCTGCTCTGATTGTTACTAATGACAAGTTCACATAGGAACACAGATAAAACAAGAACATCGGTACTTCCTTTCCGTACTGCAATCAACAGACAATGTCACTGCAGCAGTTTGGGTGTATGAGGGTCGAAATACTGAGGTCTAGCCATTATTCGAGTGACAATAAAGCCCTTTCAGAAAACACAAAAACAACAATATTAATAAGTCGATTGATAATATTAATAGTCGATTGGCGGATTGTTTTCTGGGGGTAATAATTCCTTCAAACAAAATAATAAAATTAGTCACTCAATCCACGATTGCTTGTGGGACAATGCTGTGCGCAATTGGCTACCATGTTTTGCCCACAAAATACAGTCAATTCACTTTACAGTATATTACCAAGGCACATCTCAAAACCCTTCTCTTCAACCAAGCCTTTGGCTACCCTCCTACCCTCCCTGCCCTCCACCCTCCCCGATCCCGACCACCAGTTCAGGTCCAAATACCTGACTGTCCAGTGCCTAAGGCATCCTCCCGACATGAAGGGCACTGCACTATACAAATGTAATTTTGTATTGTATTGTATATTCTGTGAAGCGCTTTGAGACATCTCAAAGATGTGATAAAGCGGTATATCAAATGCAAGGATTTATTGTTAATATTCCTTGCATTTGGTTTCATACCATTCATGTCTGGAGGACATCCCAAAGAGCTTCATGGGATTTACTGAGGTGAATAGATGAAGTTTAGAGGGTTTAGTGATGATCTGATTGAGGTTTTTAAAATAATCAAGGGATTTGATAGGGTAGATACAGAGAAACTATTTCCTGTGGTTGGGGAATCCAGAACAAGGGGCATAATCTTAAAAGTAGAGCTAGGCCATTTAGGAGTGAAAGCAGGAGGCACATTTGCAGGGCTATGGGGAGAGAGCGGGTGAGTGGGATTGATTTGGATAGCTTTTTTCAAAGAACCGGCACAGACACGATGGGCCGAATGGCCTCCTTCTGTCCTGTATAATTCTATGAAATCCTTGAACTCATATTCTACTGGAGGAACAAGGACCAGACTACATGGATTCTGGTGAGTATTATGCCACATTTTGCTACTTCATATATAAACTTCAGCTATTATCATTGTACCATGTAATCACTTTCTGATAGCTTGTATATTAGTGCTTTAAACTACATGCAAATGTTCCTGGCGTATAATCAGTTCAGAATCATTTCCGACAGTGTCATGATTCTCTCAAAGCATTATTACCGTAAGCACATTCACAATCCAAAAATAATTAAGAAGAATCTTGTTTTCATCGCTCCGCAGATGATTCCTCCGCACTTACTTCCTTTTGATTAATTGATGGGAAGAGCTGGATAAAGAAGAAAAAGAAGAAGAGAGAAAAAAAGATAGGAAGGGATTGCAACTAGCCGTGGAGAAAGTGCTTTTGGATGAAGAAGATTAAAATACAATAGCGGCAATGTAGGAGGAAAGATCTTCAGTGTATGGTTAGGTAGCCGATGAATGGCTCTCCTGATTCAGGCATAGCCCACAAGGTTCACCAGGCGAATAGGAAATATCAATCCACGTTCATAGTTGCTGTCCTTTCAAATTGATCCCAGAGCACATAGGGTGCAGGACCTACTCCTGAGTGTCAGTGTTTTTTTTCCACCAAAGTTTAGATAATCTCGGGCAGGATTGCATCAAGGGTCACCATTGCACATAGCTATCCCAGTGGGTCGTTCGTCTGGTTAATGAGGTGCACACAGTGGTTATATTCCAGCATTTCTCTCCCATCCCAAACCTGGAGCTGAGAGGGAACGTCAGGTTACATTACAACAAAGTGGCTGATGTGCCTGAGAGAAGACCATGAACATGTCATTTCTCTGCTGAGGAAGCTTCCCAAAGCTCCACAGACTGCTAGGCCTGCAGCTATAAACAAAAAGAGTGGCTAAATTATTTCAGAGAAAACTGGGACATTCAATTCTTTCAGCTATCTAGCTGAAAATCTATTTATTTATAAATGTTAGATATGAGGGTGCCCCCAGATATTTTGTACGTGCCCCCAGATTTGCTTTGCAAAATATGACCCCCCTATTCACATACCAGTATCTAATTAATAATGTCACTGTAATAATAATAGTATTTCTTACATTTCACTTCAGGAGGATGACTCAAAGTGCTTCCCAGGATATATTGTAAAGTGTTGTGACTGTATTTTATCGGCGAAACAGATGAATATTTGGTAGGCTGAGGCATTAAGGGAAATGGTGAAAGGGCAAGGAAATATTATTAAATTGCAGATCAGCCATGATCCAATAATAAGCTTCAACAGGCTCGACGGGCTGAATTGTCTATTTCTGCTCTAATCTTATGTTCTTATGATACCCAGAAGTAAGCTTTAATGTTTCAACCTGTAGTGAATGCAACTTCACTTCATTATTGAACAGTTTAGAATTCAGAGCCATTTTACTATCATAAAAATGTTTGATGCTCTTTGGAATAAAACTTTTTATCATCCACAAATGTGTCTATTGTGCCTTTTTCTTGAAGATATTCATTCCTTCATGTAATAATTGTGCCTAAGACCCAACTGTGTATATTGGAATGATCTGCCAATGTAGTATTTATTTATATCACGGATTCTGCGTTAAGTATCAATGACTAAGATGCTCAAAATAGTTCATGGATTCAGCTCCAGTGGAGCAGTTGTCCACGCAACTCCTTCTGTGCTGTTTTTTTAAGTAAACAAGATACAAAAATAATAAAATAATAAATTGGTGACTCAATCCACGACTTTCTGTGGGACACTGCTGTGTGCAATTGGCTGCCGCGTTTCACCCACAAATATACAGTCAATTCATTTTACAGTATATTCTGTGAAGCGCTTTGAGACCTCTCGAAGATGTGATAAGGCACTATATCAAATGAAAGGATTATTATTATTATCTGTATACTTGGAAATCCATCACCATGCATAAGAATATCCAAATCACACTATTGAATGTTCCACATATGTTCCATATTTTAGGAAATAATATCTGGGATACAGTGTATAATTTGAGACAAATCTTATGTTCCCTTTGTCTGGAATGAAATGTGCACTCTCTCCCCAGAGGGAAACATCCGACTCACTTAATCCCGGATTGTATTAGGTTCAGATTGGCAAGAGCCAAGGCTTGGGGACTCCAGAGTGTGTGTTGAAATACTGCTGCATTTAAACCAACTAAAACTGCACAGCTTGCCATTGCAAACACTGTCTGACAAGCTTCCTGCTGCTTGTCCATCTTTCCATCTGGGTACCACCTTAGCTTGCAGGGCTATATAATAACATATAATATATGAACAAGATGGGAACATTGCTAAGCATGTTACCCAACAAATAATCCATTTAGGAAATTCTTTATTGAGGCAGGATTTGAGAATATGGAGTAAGCTTTCTTGGAAGCAGTTAGGTGTATTTCCAAGAAAGTCAGTAAGGAGCAATTTTTTAATCCTTGCATTTGATATAGCGCTTTTCACGTCTTCTAGACGTCTCAAAGCACTTCACAGAATATACTGTAAAGTGAATTGACTGTATATTTGTGGGTGAAATTGGGTAACCAGTTGTGCACAGCAGTATCCCACAAACAGTCGTGGATTGAAGTGACCAATTGTATTATTGTTCTTTTTTGAGGGATTATTATCAGGCGTGTGGAGTAAGAAAACTTGCCCAAGGTTTCGCCCTGCCGGGAAATTAACACATCTCTCACTTGCGAGGTGAGTGATCTAACCACTGAGCTACAGGACTCCTTGAGCTACAGGGATAGTGAGCTACGGGCTGTAACCACTGAGCTACAGGGCTAGTGGGAGATCAGTGGGAAAAATTCTAGCCCCCAGTGACCATAATTTCTATGATGACACCCACATTGAAAGTTAATGATTATGCAATCACTGCAAATATATCAAATAGCAGTATTTAATTCCTAGAACGCAAGACAATTGATGATCACTAAAAATATCTTTTCACCGGCTTCATAATGGAAAAGATTTCTATTTCCTGAACTCAGCATAAAATTGTAGCCCAGTATTTCTTAACTCTTTTTTTTCCTGACGATCTTCTTTCTCTCCATCTGCCTCCTCTCTTCCCTCCCTCTCCCCACACCACACCCCATCCCACATACATATTCAACCCCACCACCCCAAAGGCATTTTGATTCCTTTGTTCTCCCAATGAAGCAGGATTCCTTCAGCACCAGCCATCCTCTGATAACTCACCCAAATAACTAGTATACCATACTTGACTGACTGACCAATTTTCATATATATTGATGCATCCACTTCCATGGAATGTTTTCATTGAAACTGGTTCAGAATGTGCTGGAAAAGGTGTGAAACACAACTTTCACAAACCTGAAGGCACTATCCCAATTTGCTGCTTCTGGTTTGCAACTAAAATTATAGGATTCATGGACAAATTACATTCTCAGCTTCCTCTAACCTCTTCCCGTCCAAGAAACGGCCTCAAATCTACAACAACAACTTGCACTTATATAGCGCCCTCCACACAGGGTAGCATCTCAGAACGCTTAGGCCTTTTCTGGACAAATGATGACCATTCTTTCCATTGTGTCTGTGGTTCTGCTGCCTCTTTTTTTCTATAATCCTTTGTTTTTTGCCTACTAAATGCAGCTTTCTTCCTGTATCCCTTTAATTTTGAGCAATGTGCCCTATAGACAAGCGAGGGCTCTTTAGTCTTGAGAAAAGATGATTCAGTGGGGATCCCATAAAGGGGTATACAATTTTAATTTGGATTGAAAAAGAACTTCTAGACTAGAGCAATACTTTAGGATGTACTGAAATAGTAGAGCAAGAGGATATAGGTTTAAAGTTGCAAAGGGCAATTTCAGCACAGGCGCCAGGAAGTATTTTTTTACTCAGAGGATAATTAAGGATTGCAACAGGTTGCCAGGAAAGGTGGTCCAGGCCAGGACACTGGACTCATTTAAACAGCTGTTTGATGCTGTGATGGGAGGATAGGAGGGGAGTGTTCTGGAAGGATAACCTCAAATGAGCCCAAGGTCCTTCTTCATCCAAACCATATGATTTTGTGTTTCTGTTTATTGCTTCGCTATTTATCTGGTTCCCTTCTAAGTGCAAGCAAAATGCAGACCATGATCGTACCTTCCTGCTATCAGTCCTGGTCAGCATCCTGATCTCGGGCTTTATCATGGACAAAGAATAAATCACCAGCCAGCCCCAAGAATGGCCTTTCCCAGCCTTGGGGATCAGAGTATATTTTCCCAGCAATTTGGTTTTCCCGAGAATCCCACAGTTTGATTCGTAAACCAGAAACTGCAATTAACCAAATGCCCACCATTGGCGGGTGGGCCTTCAGCCACTCTGCCCCTACCCTCTGGAACTCCATCCCACAGCCAGTTTGCTTCACCCCCTCCTTTGCCTCCTTCAAGACCTGTCTCAAGACCCTGCTCTTCGACCATGCCATTGGTCACCCTCCTTCTCACTCTGCCCCCCACCCCCCACCTTCCCTGATCCCAACCCCCAGCTCAGGTCCAAAATACTGATTGTCCAGCGCCTTGGGACATCCTCTCGATGTGAAGTGCGCTATACAAACGTAATTTTGTTGATGTTGTGGCTTGTTGGCATATTATGCAAAACACGTGTGTGGCAGCTCATGACTGTCATTATTATTAACCTCCAGTTGTATTATGTTGTCATGCAAATTTCCAGTTTGCTTGCTTGTTCAAATCAATGTAAAGATAGAAAGTGAGAAAGGCTGAGAAAAACAAATGTTTAGAGCGCAGAACAGATGTTTGTTGATTGGCCGCATTTCAGAAGTAACCTTAGATATTTTTATAATAATATGTTTATTCCTGGGGAGAAATTATAGGAGAGAAATGCCAGCTGTGTGTCAAGTATTTTACTGTAGTAATGCGGCGTTTTAGAACATTCAGAATTTGACAAATTCCTAAATACTGCCTTTATTTTGAAGTCATTTTTCCATAAGTTTGTTTTAAGAACTTTTAAGAAAAACAACTTCAAATTTAAGGAAGAATTCAACAATTTGCCAAATTGTAGAAACTCAAATAAAAACAAATCCAGATCAAGGTAGAATTCTCCCCCACATGATTTGCTTATTTATTAGCTGCGAACATCATCCAAGTCAAAACTATGTCTTAAACCGATATAAGTGCAAACATTTTCAATATCACACACAAGTAGAGTAAAATCTAGACCCAGATGGAATTTCTCCCCCTTAGATGCAAATAATTGAGGTAAGTCATTTTACTGCTTAAAGGTTACAAATAAAGAGGTAACTCTAATTACCAGAAATATGTTGTTTGATTTTCAAATCAGATCACAACCCTTCTTTCGTGAGAACTATGATAGTTCTTGCATTTGATGTAGTGCCTTTTCATGTCAAAACTTCTCAAAGCACTTCACAGAGCTTTCTGTAAATTGTGGTAACTGTACATCTGTTAGGAAATGTGACAGCTAATTTGCAACGTCCTACAAACACCCATGAAGTAAATGACCAATTTTGTTTTCTGGACAATTGTCGGTCAGGACATCACAGAAGAAACTCGACACAGTTCTGTTAAAAAAAACATTTTAAGTTTTACCCCTGGGTTCAGTGTTTTATAAACTAAAAAAATTGTGTTTTTTTAATCTATTTCAGGAGGTTATAAGAAATTTAGTGAAAAGATATGTTGCAGCAATGATCAGAGATGCCAAAACTGAAGAAGGCCTCACTGAGGAGAATTTCAAGGTAAAGTCTTTGACTATCATTTGTGAGGTTGTGTAGATAGAAACAGAAACCTATAATTGCATTTATAGAGCAATTAGTAACATTGACACAGTGGGCCAAATGACCTTCGGTGCTGTAAATTTCTACTGGAAACACCTAAAGGGAAACAGATGATTTTGTGCTAGAGCAATGATTGCAACAATCTTAATTTTCAGAATAAAGAAGTTTTATCTTTACCATATATATTGTACAACTTGTAGTGTTGCTATTTGGTCCATATCTACTGTTTCCTTGGAAGAATTGTGGAATTTTTTTCATGTTGAGCATTTTTGAACTGTATGTTGAATGTTGGAGTGGGAGGATATGCAGCGTTTCTCTGGAGTTGAGTTGGCTTCAGGGTGACATACTTGGCAATCTCAGTGATGGTTTCTGAGCCAGGCAAGTCTGCCCTGCTCCAAAGCACTGTTGAGGATGAACTAGCCAGCCTGGCTCATTATAAGGACTTGGATGAGCAGACCAGTAACGGAGGAGGGATGGAGGTGGGTGGATTCTCCTCACTGGCTATTATTAACCTTCTAAGGTAAAGTCTCAACAGGTAGGGTGATCATAGCTGGGCAAGCAGCAGGAAATTTGCCAGACAGTGTTAGCAATAGCAAACAATAGCTCATTAAACAAAGCTGGGTTACCAATAAAACCACCTGCCCTTTAATTCATTTTTATTTGTTTAGCTGGGGCAGGTGTATTTGCCCTTATGAAGAGGACAGGTGCCGTGAAGGAGGAATCTTATTGCTTTTCTCTCAGTCACTATATTAAGTTTTCACACGTCAGCAATAACGGATACAATGAATAACTCACCTAAGTTACACTGGCAGGATATCTGAACTCTAGCTACAGAAAGCTCCCCTCAGTATACAAAAAAAAACCTTCCTTTAAACCTTTGTGTGTTAATGCGACTTTTAATATTCTACACTGTGTGTTCCATTGTTTTGCCTTTCTGCTATTTTTTGTGGGCAACAAATTTATATCTACTTTGGAACTGAATTAAGACTGCAAATTCACTTTGTTTAGTAGTTCCTCCGATGAGTAAACTGGAATTAACATTAGAGAATATTAAAATGCTTATTGGGATCTAATATCTGCAAATAGATTTTGTTGCATTAATTGACAAACTCACCACGGATTTTGTAAGCTGGAAGTCACATGTAATTAATACAAACAAAGTTCGCTAATGTTACAAATTATACAACACTATAACTATATTTTTATATTGTGATGTGGTTAAAAAATAATCGGTCAAAATCCTTTGAATATTGCCTTGAATTTGTCCCATTTCTTAACCTTATTCCCAAATCTTATGTCCAATAGTTGAAATTTCCCTCTTTGCCCACAGTGGTAGAGTCCAAGGGAACCCCAATGTAAAGAGTGTGTTTTGTTTCAGATTAAAAATCAATTAACAACAACACATTGCATTTATATAGCATCTTTCACTTCAGGAGGATGTCCCAAGTCAAGAGTTTGCACCCGTCTTGGGGATTGGATTCAGGAGGGATGAGGGCAAATGGGGTGTTGGGGGAAGATGCCCGAAGGCACGGGCAATGAAGAAGGTCTTAATAATAATAATAATAATCCTTGCATCACGTCTTTGAGACGTCTCAAAGCACTTCACAAGATATACTGCAGTGACTGTGGAGTGACTGTGTATTTTGTGGGTGAAACGCGGCAGCCAATTGTTTTGGTCAGCCACGTATCTGACACATGTGGAAAACCATCACCAGATTGTGAATATCCAAACCATCAGTGTAGTGTGTTGGAGTACTATGGAGCTGCCTGGCTCAGGAACCTGCACTGAGACTGCCACAGAGTATTGACTCAATTCCCACATTCTGTTGCCAAGCAGTTCACCTTGTAGTCAGTTCAGCCGAATACAGAGATCGAGTTAACACTGGCACAAATTTAGTTAATGGGTTAAAGAGCGCAACAAATTTTACCTCATTTTCTTATTAAAATGTGGAGCACTTTAACGTCTTGACTCCACTCCTCTGTATCATTGGAAGATTTGGAAACTTTATTTTGATTTGTAATTGAGATTGTTCTTCATAACCAAGGAGTTTCTTTAGCAGCAACTCCAAAATCTGTTGGTTACTTGCTCATTTTTGTCCAGTTTTTTTTAATCCCTGAGATTCAGATGCCTGTTAATTGTAGTTGTGTCTCGAAAGCAAAACTGTGGTTACAGAATCTTTTCAATTACATTGTTTTTATTGTGCTTCAAGGAACTGAAGCAGGATATCTCTAGTTTCCGCTACGAAGTTCTGGGTCTTCTTAAAGGAAGCAGACCATCTTCTGTACAGCCGTCAAACGTTAGCACAGCGCCAACAAAGATCTCAGATAAAAACAAAGTATTTGAGACTAAACCTGAATCTGGGACTGTTTCAACATCCTCGAGTGAACAAAAGAACAAACTAACCTTTTACGAAGTAACGTCTTTGCTTTGTCCAAAGTCAGTGCCTAAACGATCAGGCACTGAAACAGCATCTACCAGCTTAAGCAATGGGTCCACACCAAAAGCTACTGAGTTGTGCAAGGAAAAGCAAAACAACAAAAGTATTGTCAAAGACTCCATCAAAAACTTAGGGTTCTTTCGGAAACGAACAAAACTGTGCAATACAGAGCAGAGTATGAACAGGATATATACGGTGTCTGAGGAAATTACTCAGGAAGAGACCCTGCAGAAAGACACAGAAAACGCTGACTGCAGGAGCAAGAGAGACTCGGAGCCTGTAAGTGACAGTGGCTCAGGCCTAAAGCATCCAAGGGCAAGCAAAGAATGTAACCCAGAATTGGAAGACAGTACCCATGTGTTGTTGCACAGACAGTCTTTGGAGAGCAGCGCCATTCGTTTGTTAGAGTCAACACAGGACGTTGTAACAAACGTTTCAGGGAACAAAGACAGCGTCTGCCCTGTAAATCAATGGACTATGACACAGGATGACTATGTAACTACAAGATTATGATACAAAACCAAGGGACGACTAAATTATAAAGTAATTTATTTTGCAGATTGCTTTTCGCAAAGATAATAAAGAAATTCTATTAACACAATGTGGTAATTCATCACGCTCAACTAGTGCTTGATTCCTTAGGGTATCTAATTATTCAATCATATTCATGTGTCATGTTCATATTTGTAACTCTTGTCAATTACATTTTTCATTCTGTAAACAAAAATTAGACAATCCATAAATGTATGAGTAAATATCAGGGAAGAATAGAAAATATTTAAGTAACATTGAAACCACCGCTATTTGTTGTACCCTATTTTGTCATTTAGCTCCCAATATTAAGATTAAAATGTAAATGCAATGCATAACATCATCAATTATTTTAAGAAGCGATGCACATACACAACTTTTTAAGTTAGATAGAATGAAAGGGAGTATTGGAAACGGACATGTGCTTTTATCATTTCCTGAATACACTTTATCCCATGTACCCAATTGGAGACCCTAAATTTTGCATGATCTTAACCTGACGACTATTGTATTAAAATGCAAGAATGTGAAAGATTTTGGATAATTATTAGCATGGTCTTGATTTGGAAATTGTTTTTCAATATAAATTTTTAAGGCTTCCAGGACTTTTCCAAAATTCTGCACAAACATAAATTTATGGCAGTGGTTTTAAGGGTAAGTCTAGGAATAATTTGGCCAGTGGCATATCAAGAAAGTGTAGAAGAAATTGCACTTACAATGTTAGGGTCATCAAATTCCAACTGGAAGTTAAGCAAACAAAATTAAATTAAATACAAAGGTTTTAAATAATTAAATTCCAATTAAAAGGTAACAGAAAATACAATAGAAATATTGTACACTTTGAATAAAAAGCATACTCTAAAGATTTGTTCGAAGATATGCCGTTGCTTTCAAACACAGGAATAAAAATAGAGGGAACAAGTTTAAATGTCTCTGGTTAATCAAAAATTAACAGGATCTATTTAAATGTACTTCAAAATTAGGCGCATTTTGGTTGGCACATTAAAACATTTATGTATGGAAGAAGCTGATGGTGAGATGTACTCTACTGGATTCTTGATCTAAGATATCTGCTATGAGGATGTGCCTCATGCAACCACGTAGAGAAAACAAAAGGACATTTCTCCCCATGGTCTGCTATCTTACACCTCATACTGAATACCTTTGAGTGGAATTGGAAGAGGTTTTTGTAGCAAATCACTTTATTCACCAGAGTTTGTTCCAAGGCTAAGAAAATATTGAGGGAAAGCTAAACTAGATATTGGAGGGAATAGCATTCTTGCTTCTGGGTAAAACTGTTGTGGAATAAAGTCCCACACTAGGATTTGAGCACAAAATCTAAACAGACACTTCAGTGCAACACTGAGTGAGTTCTGCATTGCTGATGTGCTGTCCTTCGAATGTTATGTTTCTATCTGTCTGTTCTGGTAGTCAAAGACTCTGTGCTTTGATAAAGAGCAGGGTGTATTTTTTCTGATATCCTGGCAATTTAACTCCCTGGTCCATAAAAGGTTACATTTGGCCATTCATCTCACAGAGCTAATTGTGGGATGTTGCTTGGCACAGATTAGCTGCTGAGTTTACTCACATTAAAACAAGTCATTTCGTTATACAGTACTTCAAACTAATGCATTAGGGCTTCGAGATGTTTGAATGTTATAAGACACTTTATCAAATGCAATTATTAACGCATTATTTAAAACCTCAAAAACTATAATATACAGAACTTGGTAAATAGGTCAGGAATTCAGTTTGTGCAAAAATGTAATTTAGATGTAATAAAATATTTATGTCAATGAAGATCTCCGACTTCTCAGCACTTTTCTAAAATAAGCATTTTCATCGAATGAAATGTATCTGCTGTTCAGTTCACCCACAAATGTTTTGTCTGCAAACCATTTAGAAATTTTATTTGAAAAATAAAAAGAATCCAGGACACACACCATTTTAAGACTGTTTTCAACATAACCCATTGCGTTGTAGAGCCACGAACAATCCTTAAAATCAGAATCTTAAAACTACGGTATCCAATTACTAACTCAGGCTCTAACACAAGGGCGATATCAGGAAGTCTGTAAAGAACATCCAATCACACAGTTTCAGTTGCACAAAAAGTGACGTTGTGTCCTCTTGTCTTCAAAAGTGTCCATTTTAACACTTTTATGAGTAATTTGTGAACTCAGTAAAATAATTTACCAATTGCTTGGTTCAAATTAGAATGTGATGAGGAACTTAATAATACTTTAAAGTGTTCACTTTGCCAATGTTTCATCACTGTTTACACTGTCCTTCTTGAGCTGGATAAACAGTACGCTCTAATGCCCTGCTGTTGCTGCTCCCTAGTGGTTAATAAGAAGTGTATTTTCACCATGTACGTTTACCTTCCTTTCCAGTCAAAAACCCATCTAAAGGAACTCATTGAAGATAGCCAAATTGAAGGGATACTTGAATCTGGGAGACAAGCTGTGGCCACTTTTTCTGAACCCAAAACACTCCCGTTTCCTAAAGTTTATCATTTTCTGAATACATATCCAAATATTATACTCATCACCACAAAACGTTATCTTCAGTTGGTAGCAATCTCGCCTCGGAGTCGAAAGGTTGTGGGTTCAAACCCCACGTTGGATCTTTGGAACTCATAGTTTAGGCTGACACTCCAATGCAGTGCTGGGTGTGTGCTGCATTGTTGAAGGTGCCGTCCTTTAAATTGGACATTAAACTGAGTTCCCGTCTGCCTGTTGAGATTAGAGATCCCATGGGCCCATTTGAAAAGAGAAGGGAGATTCACCCTGTCCTTGCCAATCATTCCCCAGATAAAATTGGTCATTCACTTCACTTAGGACAATAGTGCATGCAAATCAGCTGTCGCGGTTTCTTACAAATATATAGTAAAATCCTGTGAAGTGCTTTATCATTTATCATTTTCTAAATACATATCCAGATATTATATTCATCTTCACAAAACGTTGTCTTCAGTTGGTAGCACTCTCGCCTCGGAATCAAAAGGCGGTGGGTTCAAACCCCACGTCTCAAGACAGCTTGACAAAATGGTACCAAACATAAGGATTATTATTATTAAAACAAACAGCGATAGTTAATTGGCTCTGCATGCACATAAGTGTGTCGATAATCCTACAGAATGTATGAGGAGGCTCAATGTGGATATTATGTCTATCAGAAATAAATAATTTAAATCTTGTTTCTTCTTTGTGCTGTCCCTTATAAGTATAATTGATAATTCAATTTAAAGTATGATCAGCAACTCATGCACATCGTGGTCTTTTGTGACAGTCATAATGTCTCACTGATTGAAAATATGAAGTGAAAATCCAATATGTGTTGTGAGAAATATCACCGGTGATCTCATTTTTCACTGCTGTATTTTATTCTTGGCTGGTTAATAAAAGTATCAGGAAGGATCGTATTTACCTCATATTAAACCAGAGCAGTGTGGAACCGTTACTCCGAGGGATATCTCATCTTTCATTATGTTGGACCCCCATCATGTGGCAAAGTATGCATCTTTGAAACAAACAGAATCCTTCCTGGATATTGGAGTCTCATTGCTTTAGGTTCAAGTCGTGCCCCTCAATTTGTCATTGAATTCTGGCCTGTGTCAGGTTATTAGGGGGAATGCCTTTCAAATCCCCAAAACATTCTGTACACAGCAAGCGACTGGATTCATATTTCAAATACTGTTAATGGTAACAGAAATCTGACATTTAGCAGCTCCTGGAAACCAAAAGCATACCTGCATTCTCACTCTTTTGTCAATGTCAAAAAGTGCCTTAAAATCTACCCTCCCTCGTATCGTCTTGTTGCAATATTCCAATAATAAATGCTAACAAAATCTTAAAATGCAGAAATCGTGTTTACTTACTGTTTGATTCCAGAATGTGGATGTTACAAATTCCTCATATGACTGCTACCCGTGCTGATGTGATCTACCTCTCGGTATACTATCTGTCCTCTCTACAAGCATTAACTTTCATTTCAATAACTTAAATTACATTTGTTGTACTGTCATTAAAGAGACTCCCTTTCAATGGCATAGGGAGAGAGAGAGAGAGATAGGTGATATTTTCCACCATTGATTTATATCTCCCACCCTGTGTTTCTATTCAAATGGGGCAGTAGATTGTGAACCCTCCACATGTCCCACTTATAATAAATAATAATAATGATCAATACTATTCCAAACGCTGAACTCTAGGGTTCCTTTGAAATTAAATGGCTTGCTGGATCCATGTCTCTATGAACACTCAACTCTAACCACACTTAATTCACTGTGCTAAAAGATAAGATACCATGTTATGTGTAGATATATTCACCAGTACTTTCCTCGGTTTGTCTTATGTTTGGAAAACATTGCTTTGGTGTAATACTATGACTCAATTGCTGTTACACTTTAAAAAGCTATTCGAAGACCTTCAGCCTGCTTTTGCTTCTTTGGAAGCAATAAAGTAGTTTTGAGATGTTTAACAATCCCAAATGGTGACTAATTAGACAATCATTCTCTGAAGAACATCACTCTTCAATATTTTTGGCCAGTTTTTCTCTTCCCTCTCTCCCTCCTCCACTTCTTCTGGTCTGTGATTTATTGTTCCTTCCCACGGAATCCGACAGTTTCACAAACGAAGCACTGAGTATTTGGCAGTCAGGCTATTTATTGACTCATCGAAGGCATCATGACAGAGCCTAATTTTGTGGCACAGAGTACAGACACACACACCCACACACACATACCACTAGGGTTTCTGGATAGCAAACAGGACCAGGAATCATGGCATATTATTCCAGGTGTTGAAGCCAAATTTAGTGCCCCAACTGTTGAATTGTATTATATAGCCTGGCATTATACTGCAGTCTAACCACAGTGGGTTGGGTTGAAAACCTAAGGGCAAGATTGGAGATTGGGTTAATTAACTGATACACATGCCCTGAGTTATATAATTAACCAATTCAAAGTGTGGAATCATCTGCAATGCTTTCTCCTGGTTCGTATATGACATAACTAAGGGCATAATACAAGCTTTCAGCTGTTCTGCCCCCGCTCTCTGGAACTCCATCCCAGACTCCCTCCAAATTGCTCCCTGCCCACATTCAAAGCACACCTCAAGATTTACCTCTTTGACTTTGTTTTCGTTCACTTTTTTCGCTCCTCGCTCTCTTCGGCTCCCATCCCGTGCTCGCATGCCCAACCAGCAGTGTGAAGCACTTTGAGACGTCCTCCTGATGTGAAAGCGCAATATAAACGTAAATTATATTAAACATTTGCATAAAGCCCAGCCTGCACATTTTGTACACGGGCTGTTAACTCAACCCACAATTGGGACCTAAGATTGCACACAGCAGAAAACGGTGGTTAGGAAGAAAAATCATTCCCAGAAGAGAATATGAAAAGCCACGAGAGCTGCAAAGATGTCCATTATTCAAATAGATTTACAGCACCCCTACAATACTTTAAACCATGCACAGTTCTTGAACCACTCTTTGAATGATTAAGGAATATTATCTGCATTAGGACGGGTGGTGAGCTAAGCCCAGGGTTGTACTATATTTTAGCAGGAACCAGCCATCAATAATTGCTTTGCGGTGGTGTTTCTTATCTGCCTCTCATTGCAGTGAGCTGATTCAAATTAAATGATGCTGTTTTAATTTAATTTAACATATTACATCTCTCAGTCTGGCTCAGTGGTGGCATCTTGCCTCTGAATCAGTAGTTTGTAGGTCAAGCACCATTTCACGACTTGAACTCACATTGTCTAAGCTGATCTTCCAAAGCAGTCGCATTGATGGAGGTGCCGTTCTTCGGATGAGATGTTAATCCAAGATCCGTCTGCCTGTTCAGGTGGACAATAAAGACACCAATGACGTTATTCGAAAGGAAGAGGCAATTTCTCTCAGTGACATGACCAACAATCCCCCAAAATTAAATTTGCCATTCAATTCATGGTCATTTGTGGGACATAGCTGTGTCCCACACATGTTTCCCGACGTGAAAGGCGCTCTATAAATGGAATCTTGTTGTTCTTGTTGTGTGCAAATTGGCTGCTGTTTTCACCCACAAATACAGTCACACCACTTCACAGTAAAATCCTATACTTTCAGATATTCACCCTGATGACATTGCACAATTATTATTATTATCATTTTTATTATGACATAAGGATCTCAGTAATAATGTGAAGTAACTTGATTTCTTTAGGGTTAATCTGAGAAAAAATACTCATGATAATACCTCGACTTTTACTGTCACTTTAGAGAGCAATTGGCAACAATAATTACCATCTGTCACTGCCAATCACATCAATGAGTGTTACGTTGAAAATCGCACCAATTTTTATTGTTTCTGTAATAAATCTACGGAGCAAATGCTATTCGATATAGTAATTAGCGGTTAACATAATGAACACAATAACTAGGGAATAAGCTCACAGTCCAAGCTGACTCTCCAGTTCAGTGCTGGGGGAAGGGGGACTGGTGTTTTGTGGGAGGTCCCATCCTTTGGATGAAATGTTAAACTGAGGTCCAGTCTGCCTGTTCTGAAGGAAATTAAAGATCCCATGGCACTATTGGAAAAGAGAAGGTTGTGTCTTCTTGTGTCCTGGCTAACAATCCCCCTGCATTTACAAGCCTGACCTCACTTTTTTGCTGAGATATCCCTTATTGAAACAATGCCAGGATCAGGCCACTGAAAGTAGACAACTGATTCTTGGTGATTCAGCAGTGAGCGCCAACAACACTAGATAATATAGAAGAGAAACTTCTGACCTCAGATGATAACAATAATAATAACAATCCTTGCATTTGGTATAGTGCCTTATCACGTCTTCGAGACGTCTCAAAACACTTCCCAGAATATACTGCAAAGTGAATTGACTATATATTGTGAGCGAAACGCGGCAGTCAATTGTTCATAGTAGTGTCCCACAAACAGTCGTGGATTGAGTGGATCATGGTAACATTGTCATTTGTAATTTGTTGTTGTTGTTGTCATTGAAAGCAGGGGTTCTTCTCACTCAGCTCCTGTTAAACTTGCAAGCCAAGGCCCTAATCGGTAGGGTAGCTTAAGCTGAGCAAGCAGTGGCAAGCTTGTTAACAGTGCTCTCGACGACAAGCTGTGAGATTTTAGCTGTTTAACTCCAATCCACCTTCTGGTGTGACCTGAAGATACGGAAGGCGGGAGCAAGGCAGAGGTATATAGGAAGAGTGTACCAGAGTTTCGGGGCGTAGTGACTGAAAGTCCGGCCACCACAGTGGAATGGAGGGCACAGGGGACAAGCAAAGTCTCATCTGAATTTTGGCAAGTGTGTGTTGGGGTTATAGCTGGAGTTTTACCTATGAAAACCATCCAGCTTCCCTTCTCAGCACTGTCTGGCAATTATCCCTGACAGCGGGTCACAATGCATTTGTTGGAATTTGTGGCGCTTCTTGTGAAGGAATGCACTTACCAGTGTGTGTGACTGAGATCATCCACTTACTATATCGGGAACAGCTCCTGTATATTTTGTTCTGGGATTAACATGATCTAATTTTGCTGGGTTGAAAGCAGTTGGGAGACTTTGTTTGAGAGAGAGGAGAGAGAGAAGAGAGAGAGAGAGAGAGAGAAAGAAAAAAGAAGCAGAAAATAATTAGCCCTGCTCAATACATAGATTTCAAATCTGGCTCATTTACGGTTGTAATGGGAATTGAAAATGTTATTCTGAGTGATCGATTTGCCAGTGTTAACATTGCGTCTTTGCAGCCAGTAGAGGGAGTTATTGGCAAACCTTTCAGACTCCAGCAGCAACCCTCAGCTACTGTGTGAAGATTCTAGAAAGCCCCCAGAGCTTCGCTCACTTCGGATTAGCCCAACTCACATTACAACCAGCTTAATTGTTGAACAACAGTTACGATCACATTTCAACGATCTTTACATTGGTCGATTTAATGTCCAAAATAGATTTAATGTCCTAACATTTAGCCCTTACATTATAATAATATAATAATAATAATAATAATAATAATCCTTGCATTTGACATAGCGCTTTTCACGTCGGGAGAACGTCCCAAAGCGCTTCACAGAACATACTGTAAAGTGAATCGACTGTATATTTGTGGGCGAACGCGGCAGCCAATTGCGCACAGCAATGTCCCACAAACAGTCGTAGATTGAAAATGACCAATTTATTATTGTTTGAGGTTTTGGAGGGATTATTATTAGGCGTTGATTTATGACACTGTAGCTTGCTTCATAGTCATTTTATTACAAAAAATAAACATAGCGTGGATATGTGTCAGTTATTTTATGAGAAGACATCTATTTAAGGTTAAATTGTTTTTTTTTACAGGACTGATTGTCCTATAATAAAGCATTGACGTTCTGCAACAATCAGGACTCTTCAAAGTCAGAAGCTCACAGTGTTGTCATGTTTTAATGTCGCCTCCAGGGTGCTGTAAATAAGGCAATGGTTTATGATCTAATAACTGCTTGTCACGTTAAGCAACTGACAGAGGAAACAGATTAGATGAAGTGAAGCTCTCTCAGCACAAACATAAGACTTGTCATACTTCCAATGTCATTGGCGACTGAAAGGTTCGTGCATTATTATTGTAATGTTACCCTGAATCAGAATAAGAGCAAAGTTATTGTGAGGTTTTCAATTCAAATTGATAAATAATAGTTACACATGATCCTCACGCTTGTGTATAAATCACTTCATGCCCTGGCACCTCTCTATCTCTCCGACCTGCTTACTCTCCACTCCACACCACCTCCGCTTGGCTGGCTCTGGCTTCCTACTTGTTCCTTGTCCATTCCGTTCCACTCTCAGGGGCTGTGCGTTCAGCCACTACACCCTGAAACTATGGAACTCTCTGCTTCAAACCCTCCGCCTTGCCTCCTCCTTCCCTGACTTTAGATCACAGCTGAAGACCTTCCTCTTGACCGTACCTATGATCACCTCCCCCCTCTCCCAGCTCAGCATCAGGCTTTGCCACTGTTAAGTGGTCCGAGACGTTGTCCCGAATGAAAGACACTATATAAATGCAAGTTGTAGTTGTCGTTAAATAGCTTGCATAAGGGTTATATTATGTACCTACCTATTCAGGCTTCACTGTGTTGCGATGATTGTATGTGTTATTTTTTAGTAACAATGCAGATCTCCAACCTATTGCTGTTTTGGTCAGAGTTTTATATTGGAGACTTCAGTTAGCAATGTTGGATGTGATTGACAGTGTGGTTCCCTCTCTGATCTGCTGTTTTCAGGAGGTGGGGAGGTTGGGGGGAGGAACAGTCTGAATGGGTCCTTCCCCCAGGCTGGGAACTTGTATAAAAGTTACCAAGTTCGCTGCTCCTTCTTCCCAGTCCTATCGCAGTGTTGTGAGCTAATTCTCGACCTAACACAGCTAGGACAAAGATGAAGCTCTTACTTTTAACTACCTTCAGCCTCTTTGTGTTTACATCCTTTGACCAAGCGGAGTCGTCTTACTATGATAAGATAGTTACCCACAGTCGAATCCGGGCAAAAACTAAGGGGTAAGAAAGGTGTATTTAAATTTTCAAGCAACAATGGAAAACAGTGTAGACAGACAAATCCATTTACTAATATTCTTAGGGAACAGCTAAGGCTTATGAAAATATACATCAAATGCATGGATTATCATTATTATTAAATAATTATGGTGTTAAAATTTGGATTTTAACTTCGGTCGGGTTAGGTATCATTGACATTGTTTGTTAAAGATCAAATTATTCTTTCCCATATTAAAATGATTCATTCATTCATTCATTCATTTCATTTTGCTTCATCCACAGACCAAATGTGTGCGCCCTTCAGCAAGTGGTGGGAACTAAAAAGAAATATTTCAGCACTTGCAGAAACTGGTACCGAAAGTCCATCTGTGGCAAAAAAGCGTGAGTTTACTGTGATACTTCTAATGTGATTTCCGATGCAAACTATTCTTTTTAACATTAACAAGAGGTTTTAATGCAGAAGCTGAGTAAATTAATATCCGTGTGTGTATGTGTGCGTGTGTGTGTGTGTGTGAGATGCGTTGTAGTGAGCTCGAACAAACTTTCTCAAGTTTTTTCTTTGAGAAGTTTATTGGTTTCATTAGAGAAGAGATGTGTTTCACTGCTTCGATTGTAATGGGCACTTGGATACCTTTCTTTACTGTTGTGTAGCTCTTAGCTCTTAACATAGTATTTAGGATTCAGAGAGGAACTAGTTAAGAATCGTGTTATGGATAAGAATTATTAATTCAGATATAATTCAGAGAAAATGGCACTACTTGAAAAGAGAAGGGAGTTTCTCCTGATGTCATGACCAACAATCCTCCCAAATAATATTGGTCATTAATTTTATTGGCTGCTGTGCGCAATTATATTGTCGCAGTCGCCTACAAATGCAGTCAATCACTCCATTTCACTTCACAATATAACCCTGTAAATACTTTGAGATGTCAGCCTGACAAAAAAGGGACTGTACCTGAATCATTGATTGTTATCAAGGAATCCTGTAGCTCAGTGGTTAGAGCACTCACCTCGCAAGTAAGAGACCTGGGTTCGATTCCCAGCAGGGCGAAATGTTGGGCAAGTTTCCTTACTCCACACGCCTCTGTTTATCTAGCAGTAATTAGGAACCCTGTTGTTAGTCGACTCACGGATCGCTTTTCTGGGGATTCCTTCAAAAAATTAAAATAATAATTTGGTCACTCAATCCACGACTGTTTGTGGGACACTCCTAACAATTGGCTGCCGTGCTTCCCCAAAACATATACAGTCAATTCACTGTACAGTATATTCTGTGAAGGGCTTTGAGGCGTCTCAATAACGTGATAAGGCACTCTATCAAATGCAAGGATTATTGTTATTATTTATAACTTTTACTTTAGAAAATACTAGTAGCTTTAACTTCAGGATGTTAATATCAATTTATAACTAGGTGAATGTTAAGTAAGTGTAGACATCAAAATATTTCAAGTGTTTTATTGGTTAAACAAAATGTAAGAGAAAAAGGCTGACGTTGTCAATATGTGTTGCCGCTTGTATGATGTTAAAAGAGACATTTAATCTGCAGATTGTCTGATGTTGAAAATTGAGTCATCGAGACTTCTTTCCCTACTGTAATTTAAATGGAGCTCTGACGCTGCAAACAAATTTGGCTCTAGAAAAATGAAGTGGCAAAAGGCCACTTGTGTGTTTTCTTTGGTATGACATTGCTTGTCAGCATCATAAACAGGGGCTCAAACTCCCAAGGACGGCTGCAGCAACAGGCACTATACTGTGATCTTTGCTGTGACTTCAAAGGCTTGTAACTGGGGCTCCCAGATCTCAGTCTGAATGCTTTATTACAAATCAAAGTGGCTGCATAAGTAATCTGACCTCTATTAAAATGTTTTAAAGTGTTTGAAAATTTACTGCGTTGCATGACACACAAGATTTTCACTGTGACATGAGGCCAATGGACTCCTGTGTTTCTGAACAGCAATATTTGGGCTCGCAAAATGATCGACTGCCAAAACAAATCTTGCAGTGGCGCTGTATATCACATTTGCTACCATTTCGTATCACTGCAAGGTAACCCAGTTATGTTACCCTTTGAGTCAGTGCTGTCTCATTTAGTGGGAGCACTGCCTTGCCTATGTTAATCAAAAGTCAGGTATAGCCTGCACCAACAGCAAAAACAATTTATGTTTATATAGCTCTTTTCACATCAGGAGAATGTCTCAAAGCGCTTCACAGAACCAATTAGGAGCCTGAACCGGGGATTGGGGGGGAGCTGAGGAAAGTGAGGAGGGAGGAGAAAGGAGACTAAAAGTCAGTCGGAAAAGTAAGGTGTTAAGGTGGGCTTTAAAAAGTGGGGACGTGGTTTCAGAGAGTGGGGGTAGAATGGCTGAATGCTTGCCCACTGTTGGTGGGGTGGGTCAAGTGGTGGACATGCAGGAAGCCAGTGTTAGCTGAGCGGAGAAAGCAGCCATGGAGACAGGGTTGCAGTGGGTCACTGAGGTAGGGTGGGACGACGAGGCCATGGAGGCATTTGACCCCAGCTTGTGCAACTAAAAGGCTGACTTTTGAGTTGTCAGGTTGCTGCTAATGTCACTTGATGTGTGCTGACAATGAGTGCTTTGTGCAGGAAGAACCACCAAGACATTGGACTCAAGCTGATTGTATTCTAATGAGGTTCCCTTGAAATTTGTTTTGATCACATTTGGGACATACATAAAAACATTGATATCATCATGATACCCATACAAGCACCAGTTGGGTCAAGCACCAATTCCAGAAGCAAAGAAAAATAGTTTGGGTAGAGGAAGGAGTTCCCGAGGTTAGAAGTGTAGCAGCTGAAAGCTCAGTCACCAATGTTGAGACAGAGGAGGTGGGAGATGTGCAGCAGATTTGAGTTTGCTGAGTAGAGAGGCCCAAGCAAAGGAGCAGAGTAGAAGCTCAGAGACAGGCTGATGCTATGAAATAATTTATAGGTAAAGGTGAGGCCCTTTGAAGTTGATCTGTTGGGAGTCAGGGACCCACTGGAGCCTGGCAAGGACTGGAGTGATGACCAGCAAAGTTAGGTGAGGATGTAGTTTTGAATTAGCTGGAGTTTTGGATTGAGTGGGTTGGTGAGGAGGGCATTTGAAAAGCCTAAGTGGGAGGTAACAAAGGTGTGAATGAAGGTTGTAGTGGCATTTGTTGTGAGATAAGGGCGAGGAGGTAGGCATATTCAAGTTTGTTCCTAAAAGGAAAGTGTTGAGCTCAGAGAATGTATATTTACTGAAGAGGACACTTCCAATATTTGCTTAGTGATATGAACATCCCACGAATTGTTTAATGATAATTTCAGGCAGGTGTAGTCCCTCATTCCCTTAGGTTTAGCCCTTCAAGACTACTTCAGTAATCTTTAAATATAAGAGACTGACCTATATATAATCATTAACTATAATCCTGAATTATTTTAGCTGAAAGGACAGAAACAACTTATATTCTTATAGTGCCTTATCATGGCAAAACATTTCAAAAGTACTTCACAAGTAAATACTGTTTAGTGTAGTAACCATTTTGTTGGCAAATGCAATAAGTGGATGTTACAGGGATCACAAAACTGTTTGAAGTGAGAAGGAATTTTTTCCTTAAGCCTTGTTAAATCTTCCTCAATAATTGAGTAACAATCTTCCTGATTAATTGAGTGATTCAGCTCATGGCTGTCTGTGGGATCTTGCTGTGAGCAAAATAACTGCTGCAGTTTGCCTACATCAGATAGTTACTGTAAAGCACTTCAAGACATTTCAACATCTTGAGAAAATTTATTTAAAGCTGTTTTTTTACTGTCTTCAAAGCTCCAGTGGCAGCAGTATACATTAGTGACATGGATTTCTTGTCAATACAAACAAATGAAATGTCACATTTAGTTTGATTACTGTGTAACTAAAGGATCGGGGTTCATACCCCATTAGTTAGTTTTAACTGAGTTAATTCACTTCCAAACCAATCAGTGGCTTTGGTCAGTGGCACATCCTGGCGACCACTGGAAGCACTTGCGAGAGTGATCGCCGCTGACCGGTCAGTAACCTGCACACATTTCACAGGAAGCCGGTAAGTCACCCAATGACTCGGAAGCACTGACCGACGGACATTTTTATGACTCAAACTCTTTTAATGCAGGGTCTTATTTTACGCATCCAAACCACTGCGTTACAACAGGAGACTGACTATACCACATAGAATCAAGAATAGCATTGTTTTGCTCTAACTTTTGCATGTCAGGAAAAGGCGTATTTACAAGTAGCTGTTTACGCATTGACCTATGAAATGTTTCACTACTTATAAAAATCTTGCCCATATTCAGCTGCAGGAAGTTTACACTCATCCCGGCCTTGATGTCTGCCAGACAAGCTGATAGAACATCGGCGAAGCTGGTACTGAAGGAGGCAAAGTAGATTGCTATGTCATCTGCATACATGTGGAAGTTTACCCCGTGTCTGCAGATGACATCGCCCAGAGGAAGTATATAGATAAGGAAAATAAAAGGGCCAAGGATGGAGTCCTGGTGTACCCTACAGTTGACCAGGTGGGGGAGGGAGGAGAAACCATTTGCTGAGATGAAATGGAAGCGGTTGTTAATTAAGACTCGAACCATGTGAGTGCAGTCTCACTAAGGTAGATGAGGGAGGAGAGCCGATGGAGGAGGCATGGTCGACTATGTTGAATGCGGCAGAGGGATCCAGGAGGACAAGGAGGCATAGGGAACCTTGGTCACAGATAGTGAGAATGTTGTTTGTGACTTTGACAAGCGCTGTCTCTGTGCTGTGGCCAAGGCAAAAATGGAATAGAGCCTGAGGAGAGAGACTGGTTGACCATGTCAGCCAGCAGGGGTGAGAGAAGGGGGATTTGAGTGACCAGCAGCTGGGTGGGGCAGGGGGTCAAGGTAGCAGGTGGTGAACTTCATCTGGGTGATTGTGGTTGAGAGGGACGAGAGAGAAATGGGGGCAAAGGAGAGTAAGGAGTGGGGAGCGGCAGGAGCCGTGGAAGAGGAGGAAGGTGGTGTGGATGGTCTAGGTGGGGTGGAAGGGGACATGGGGGTGAAGGACAGTGCAGCCAAGTGGATGTTTTCAATTAGAGTTGACTGGGGCCTAAGCTGGATAGGGGGGAAAGAGTTGAGAAGAGGTGGGGATGGAGGTGATAAAAGGGACTAGTAGGTGGCCTTTTAAAGTGGGGAGGGAGGGGTAAGACAGATGGACTCTGGGATGAAGTTCAAAACAGCAGGGGCAGAGTGGGTGGGGCGGACGACAACATGAAGCAGGCCGCTGTTTATTGAATGGAGCAGTAGGGTCACAGGAGGGTGCAGAGGTAGTGTGGGGGCAAGGCTGTGGAGGGATTTGGGAGAGCAAAGATTTTGAATTCGATGCATTGATGGAGCC